TGAAGTCGGTGTCAGTCAATGTAGATTCATTACTTAATTGTTACTATACTTTCAATTGTCAATTGTTATGGTAAAAATGTGGAAACCCTTAAGTAGAAATATCTCTGGATACCTTGGCTGACACCGACATTATAAGATGATTTATTTATTATTGTACTTTTATACAAAATGATTTAAATAATCCTATAGAATTCGGCAGAAAATAGAAATTGAAAGGGCGACCGCCCAGGGCTTAGGACAGAAAGGGGCGCTAAAGTCAGCAAGTTATACAGTCTCACATAACCTTATCTTCCCCTTCCAAAGTATGGTAAAAGGGGGCATCGTAGAGATTTTGCTACTAACGTTTAAACCCGTATTGAATACGGCTTATAGTCATTACAAAACTATGTTAAATTCAACCGGTGCTTTGTAGTGTTTGTACGCAAATCGAATGATTATTATGATATAAATATAAGATTTCAATCAGATTTATTTTATTTTTCCGCGATAAAAAATGTAAAATGTAAAATCCGGTATGTTAACGATAAGTTTTTATCTATAGTATAATTGTGACAGTTATTTTTATATTTTTAGGTGACTTTAACAATTTATTGCTATTAGATATGTACTTCTTGTGCGATAATAAAATAATTCGTTTTTCTTCGTTATCATCATAATTATTTATCCCATTTTATACAAATGTCTTTTAAGTTGAAATTTAAATCAAATTAAATCAATTAAAATATTATATAATATATAATGTTTACAAAAGCATAGATTTAACTCACAAGAATTATGCAAACTTTATTTACAAATTGTCGGTAATAAGTAATGCGCCAAATTAGTAAAATATGGCGTTCAGAAGATAATATAAATTCATCCAAAAACATTCTTCACTTCATCAACGATTTTGTTGGCGTATTTAGCACTGTTCATCATCAAACGTGCGACTACGCCTGGTTTTTTGATCGAATCACCGTCTCTGAAAATTTGTATTAACTTCTTTATCACAGATAATACAATATTATATTACTATAGTTGTAATAAAGTGTAAACACAATCTTTGTTATGAAAGATGATAGAAATCACAGCATAGTTTTGAATAATTATCCTACAAATCTTACTAATACTAATATTATAAATGCGAAAGTTTAGGTGGATGGATGGTTGTTTATTAGCGTTTGTAGCCTAAACCGCTGAACGGATCTCCATGAAATTTGGCACAGGTTTAGAGCATAGTCTGGAAGAACACATAGACTACTTTCTATCCCGGGAATAGTTAAGGTTCCCGTGGGATTCATTAATTTAGTTTTTTAATGTTTACTCGATCATTCTGCAACGGTTCAACATATCTTATTGAAATTTGGCACAGATATAAAACAAAGTCTGGAGTACACATGGGATAAGGTTCATCCCCGAGAAATGTCCGGTTCCCGAGGGATACGTAGCTTTTTGTAATTTATATAGTTCGTATGTTTTCTAATACCAATAAGACGAAGTCGCGGGCAACAGCTCGTTTATAATAAAAACCCTACACTTACGACACGCTATAGGCTTTGTATTTTCATGTTATTTAGGGGGTAAAAAAATTGAAAAAACCGTCAAGCGGGAAAGTGACAAAAACTACAAGCCAGTAGCAACAAGATTGCCATGGTAATTGTTAACCAATGACAAAGGCCTTCGTTGTTTATGCATTTGATTTTAGACATTTCTAAGTTTTACAAATGTAAACAATAAAATAAAGTGTTTATAATTTTATGCTGATAAAGCCGGACGGGAAGAGATTTAATATAAATGTGAATATTTTAATTTTGAATGTATGGTGACCATGATGCACTTACTTGCATTTGATATTCCACGGCTTATCGATGAAATAAATGTGTAGAGATATAACGCCGTATTTATTCACATTGTCGTACAGACATTGTGGTGCTAATGGAATAGTTACCTGAAAATTGAAATATTTAACTACTCCTGTCCTGTTTGTGTTTACACCGAATGCTATTTTGAAGTTATGATTACCAAGTCAAGAAACTATCGGATACTTAAATGGATGTCTCAATATCAGGATAACTTGTATAATCTATTCTTACACAAATAAATCATTTTCATTTCATTACAGCAGATAAACTAAAAGTTCGAATCGTGATAAGTCTCCGAAATCCGTTTTTAACGCAGTTTAAGTACTGACTGACGTTGTAATAGTGCGATTATAATTTAATTCCTTCAATATCACTTTACATTTTGCAATTTTTATAAACATTTTCATTATAATAAAAGGTATAAAATTTTGTATTACTGGGGCGCTATCCTTCGGAACTTTCTCGAACCAGTCAGGATTTTGTTTGGGTATTCTGCCAATGATCTGGAAGCCGACGACGGCGAGGTCCGTGTCCGTTGTCGTCGAGAACCAGGGGAACAGATCCTCGCATTTTAGGTCCGGTGTCATATTGTAATGGTAATGGATACCTGAAAGATATAAATAGATGTTTTTAACTGCTAAAACTGTTATTGTTTGTGATTTGTATTTATTGGCAGTAATTGTTGAATTTAACCTCAAATTATATGAGCTTAACATGCCTTTAAAAGGTATTTCTATAAATGTAAACTAGTACCATTGATAAACTCTTCTTTATTTGCTGACAAAAACGATATTTCCAAAAAATGGTAATTGCATTTGTAAAACAAAAACGTTGTTGCATTGGTTGCTTAACATCTTGGACTCTCCTTCGCGCCGAAATCCTCTTTGTTTTTTATTTAAATACAATTTCGTCTATAGCTTTCTTGGTGGCCAGTACGTTATTAAATTTTCATCCATAATATTTTTGCAGCTTAGTTATAAATTTACAATTGACTTCCTTATAAAATATTTTACTAAGTAATCTAAATATGCTTTAATTAAATTAATGCAAATAAATTTACAACTGTTGTCAGCGCCATCTATTATCAATTATTGCTGAACCACCTTGTTGGCCGAATACTGAAACCTAAGTGCTGCTTACAATCTCTTAGTGGTCATAAAGTTAACCTAGTTTGGAGTTAAAGCGTGGCCATGTCATCTTACCCATGTTAGGGATGCAGTTTTGTTTCTTCCACGAGGTTGTGTTGAGTTCAGCCTCTGTGCTGGGTATCCTCATTAGACGGCCGTCGGGGCCAGCTACCCACACGCCGCCATCTTGCAGCGTCGCGCCGTTCTCTACGGTAGGCCCGGCGCCTGCTTTCAGTGATTCTGGAATTTATGGAATGATAAAAATGTAACAAAACCTGCTAAAACCAATTTGCAACGGTGGTGAATATTATTATATGATGATTTCCATTTTTTGCATCTTTTTGTATCTATACTACTATTATAAAAATGAAAGATTTGTATTTATTTATGTATTGAAATAACTCAAATACTACCGGGCGCATTTCAAAAATTAACAACAGGTGTAACAAAAGCTACATTTTTAATTTACTTTTTAATTCCACACGGACAAAGTCGAGAGCATCAGCTAGTTTTAAATATGACTGAGCTGATTTTCGCCCGCATGAAAATAAAAATAAATGATAAAAAAAAATTATTTATGACTTTACTATGGTTACTGGCATTTATTTACCTTCCGAGACATAGAATTGTGTTGCAGTCCAGTACTCCCTCTCTGGCTCTCCATGCGAGGCTTTAGCGACCCATTTCACTAGTTTTTTCTCCGGGGCCCAGAACGGAGGGTGTTCAAAGCCTTCTACTGGTATCTGATGTCAAAATATACACAGTAACAAGCACGATAAAAGTTTCACAATTTTATTTTCTATTAACAGTTTAGCATACGAGTATATTATAGTGGAAATACGTAAGTATCTTCATATGTTTTCCATATTTAACCTTACTTGTTACAGATGGAAGCTTATTTTCTAAAAGTTAGATCAACTACCAAAAGTCAAGCTTAAAGTCGCTAAGTTCTAAGTAATAATAAGAATTAAAATAAAACTGTACATGTCTAGGCAAAATATTAACTTTCACTTGAAACGTAAATTTAAAAGTAATGGTTTGGACTACCGATCTTGCGGTTGAGGGTTCGAATCCCGCTATTCGACTATTGTATCATATGCACAAGTCTAGAGCTAAGTTGGATTGGTTAAAGCAAATATAGTAAATTACAAAATCTACTAATATATTCAACAAAACAACATGCAGAACTGAGAGTATATATCGTGCTTTAGGATCAACGTTTAATAGAAGACTCAGTCGGGATTCAAAGATGACAAATTGCAGCTTTGTTTATCTTTCATTGAATGAAATTCATTGAATTCTTGAACATTCCAGATGTCGGTCCTCGACCCTCGCGAGCGCAATTCAAGATAAATTAGATAAACGCCTCGCTGCAGCGCGACGACAGCGGTCAATTGGTCCTTCGCCTGAATGGATACTTTGTAACCTAATAACATTATACTTTTGTATTGTGCAACAGAGAAAATTCCATCCATCACGGAATGTTTATTCTAAGTAATCTTTTAAGTTGTTAAATATTATTTAACTAGCTGTTCCCATGCGGCTTCATCCGCATGGAATTATAAAAACTTTATTTTATTGTTTACATGTGTCAAATTATCAATTGCAAATGTCAAAATGACATGACATGATGACAAAGCATGGCAACGTTTCCTTAATGTTGGCAGCAACTTATGGTCTCTTTTCCACATTAGGGTTTTTATCCTAAATATTTACCCCCTAAGTTTAACGGCGGGAAAATATATAGCCTAAAGCGTGACGTAAGTGTAGGGCTTTTTATTAAAAAATGAATTATTAAAAAATGTGCTGTAATTACTGACCTCTTAGGCAAGAAAGAAGTGTGTGTTTACGCTTTATTATAATAGTATAGATATATACCTATTGCATTATACTTTTAGGTAAAACTCTTAAACAGAAAAAGCCAGAGGTAAGTGGCAGGATCTTGAGAAAAGTAGTTGACCTTAAATTGTGCCACACCAGACTCAGTATGTTTTTTTCATTCAAGAAAAGACAGTTCTCGGTAATGACTGGCAACGTAGACAGTATGTTGTTGTTTCGTTCTGGATGTTCCCTTTATGAATATTTGCAACGGTACATGGTTTTAACTCACGCCGACTTGTAGTCCTGCGATGAACCCGGCGGTATCGTACAGCGGGCAGACATTCTTGCCAGTGGAGCAATACATCCTGAGCTCAGGTAATGGCCCAGGCGGTCGCTCGGTGCGTCGCCATCCTTTCGCCTCAGCTTCGCTCAATAAGCGTGGTAGACTGAAGAAGTATTCTTTCTCCGCAAGTGCATCAGACCAGCCAAATTTCACTAAAACAAGTAGAAAGCCTTATTGTCACTTGAAGCATGTTGAATGTAGCTCATGACTTGAAACAGAGGAACCGTTGGGTCTTACTATATAAAACTTAGACAGTGTTTACGTCTATTTGAATTCGTTGTCATTCTTGTATGGTAGATCGATACAATTGGTGAACAAAATTATAAACAAAGTAGTAAAATTGAATATGGGAAATTTTAGTAATGCAAGCTTAGTTCGGTATGGCATTGTTGACAAATAAAATAACCAATTAAAATTAACGAGGTTGTTGCAAAAACGGCACAGTATAACAGTTCCGCGCACTCAAACTGGCCTCTGGGGACACGGTTACGATAAAATCGTTTTTATGTTGCTGCATAATAAAAGTTTTAGCACATGAAAACGTAATGAAGTACAAAAATTAACTTTTTTAGGTTATAAAATTGTAAACTTCAGTTTCACGTTGTTATATTATAAAGCAATTATTTTTAGTAATAATTTATACGAGAAAACATCAAAGGTTTTAGGCTATTTTAAAATACACGATATATTAAAATTGATTTTAACCCTGGCGTATAAAAGTATTTAAAAATAATTTACCTCTGTAACCATCGTATTGCAAACCTGAAACAATAAAGACTAAATTAGAAAGTGTAATACCTCATTTTCCGTTTAAATTAACAAATGTACTCTTAGCCTCAGATTAAAAGAGCTTAGGAAGAGTTGCTGTTCTCTTGAATGCTTGATGCTGTTCGGTGAATAAACCCTGCAAAAGCTATGACCTAAAAATACTCCCAAAATATTGTCAGTTTCAAGGAAATATAGTACAGTCAGATCCATAAATATGTATACATTTACAACGCCTCAGAAACTTGCACGCCTTAATTTTCAAAATTATGCATGAACGAATACGGATTCGTATGAATTCGGAAGCATACAGACGGCTGTATGCTTCCGAATTCATGCTATGCACAAATATTTTTGAAACCGAAAGCCTATACCAGCTTGTAAATGTATACATGTTTATGCAGGTGACTGTACCTTGAAGATATTATCCAATATATTGCAGTAACAAATACTTGGAAGGAAAATAAAACTATGCATATAACCAGTTGAGATTCAAAAACAAAAACAACGGTAAAAGACTAAAGGGTATTTCCACGAAACAATTTCCTCTCGTTTTGTTGTTCCGAGAATTAGTTACGTGTATTGCTATCGAATTTTTAAATATTAAAATACGGAATGTAAATAAGCAGAATAAGGACGCTGAAGAACAGGTCCTTAAAAATTATCAGTTTTAAATACTTTGTAATAGAAACTACACTGTTAAACTGCACAGTTCTCAATTTTTCGTATACAAATACAATTTAACTGTACAATACTTCTCAATTAAAACTGTCAGAACTGAAGGTGAGTAGGGGGCTTAAGGATTATCGCCGCTGAAAACTTTTCAATTAAAATTAACATAACTTTGGTCTTCTCTGCTTAGCCCAAACAATATTGAACGGCAGAAATAAGTTCAGTGTCTTATTTGAGTGTGTTGAGAATTAAATGCCGCAAAATTACGAATAAAACGAACATGCATGTGGTCATTTGTAAACATGTTTAGATTTTAAAGTCATTTAAAATGATTCAGTCACGACATAACATGCGACGATATAAAATATACGATAACATTACTTAGCTGTTAATACTAATATTTGCACATAGATTAGTGTATATAAACCCTTAACCATTGTTATGTATTTTGAATTGAAATGATTGATTATTGGCTTTTGCCCTAGTCTTCGTCCACGTTAAAAATTAGTAAAAAATTCAGCATTTGTTTCTAATGTTGAAAGATTTTCTTTTCAGCAGTTTTTGCGTTATTACAATATATAAAAATACCAAAGTACAAATCTTTCCTCTATAACATATTATAGTAAAAGTATAGACTCGCTTTCGTCCACCATTCCCGTGGAAATTAAAAAAAATGAAGTAATAAACCTATGTGTTCTACCAGACTATGCTCTACGTCTAGAAGAAATATCGTCGGGATCCATTTAGCTGTTGAGGCTACAGATTCTAACAAACATCCATCTATCAATTTAAACTTTCGCATTATAATATCAGTAAAAAGATTATTGTTCTGACCGTGCGAAACACCGGTACACAAATGTCGTCTATTATTACTGTTTTTTTGTACTCGTGATGTTGCCTTGTCGAATGCGGAAGGCGGAGGACCGCATTCTGTTAAAATATTTAGTAATGCCTATACCTATGAAGATTATTCGAGAAAATTTGAGGTAAGACTGTTATCGAATTAATAGAATTGAAGCGTGTATTTGATAATTATTAATGAAGAGAATAGAGTAACCTTGATATAGGTCATTGCTACTTGATATACGTCATGTATACGAATGATGTTTTGGAAACCGGTTAATAAATAACATATCAAAAAGATAAATCGATTTATTAGTTATTTTTCTCAATTCATTTAAAACAATTATATTGTTATATTTTATCAGTATAATATTGTTTATGTTTTGACTTTAATTATCTTTTAAGTTGGAAAAATATGAAATACTAGCTATCTCCCGCGACCCTAACTTCCACGGGAACGTGGAATTAAAAACAAAAGAAAGCTCCTCTACATCTATGCCAAATTATATAGAGATTTATTCAGCCGTTTAGGCTCCAAATATACAATCATCCATCCACCCATCCAAACTTTCGGATTTACAATATTAATAAGATGACAAACTTACTAATTGTAAAAATCGTATTGTTTATAATTATGTTTACTTGTTTCTTGAGATAAAGAGAAGTTAGATTTAAGAAAACGAGTGAGTACGGAAAAGTTGTTTTTATGTGTGAATTGCAAATCGTAACGATGTTTGTTTTACAAAGTCCATAGTAATCTTTGCATCCATAAGTACTTAGAAAAAATCTTACTAATATTACAAATGCGAAAGTTTCGATGGATGAATGGTATTTAGAGTTTGTTCTGTGTCTTTTTAAGTCTTGAGTCTGGAAGAACAAATAACATACTCACATTTTTTTTTAAATTTCATGCAGACGGATTTGCTGGCGTAAGTGAGGTATTTTATAAAATCCTTAGTAGTTTTTGCATCCATATAAGTATTTGAGAAAATTAACAAGTAGGTACATTTAAATTTGCCATTTATAGTTACACTGTTTTTTGTCGGAAAAATGAACACACTGTAAATAAAGAATAGTTACTTAAAGGATTACGAAACAATTACATACCATTAACCAAAGATGCAGCCGCTAATAGGGTAATTGCAAATTTCATTTTTAGGTAACGACAGAACTTTACCGCAGAAGAGTACGCGCGAGAGCGTCGCCACCAACTCGACTGATTCCCGCGCTCCTTGCTATCGACTATAAGTTGATTTTAGGCTTCCTACACAGTTAATAAACTTATAATTATTTATTTATTTGCAGTTGTTATCACGCCGAATTACAACTGCTCTATCATGCATTTGTTAAATCTCTTCTTCCTTTATCAATGACTAGGTTTTTCTCGTGTCTTCGTCCGCGTGAAATTAAAAATATAGTAATAATTATAACCCGTGTTTCATTTATATTTAAAAACCAGCCAGACGGAGACAAGATAATTTATAAAAATGAAAAATTTAGCCCATATCACTTACTGATTAGTTTTTAAGTTATTTCAATACATACAAAGATACATATCTTTCTTCTTTTCAATATTAATCAAAGTTAATGAGTAATAAGAAAATTTCTATAAACATGCTGAACTAATGTTATAATATCTATTAAGATGGAATAAAAAAATATAATTAAAAATATAATATTGAGAAATTACGTTCCGTTATCATTATGCGAATGATTTATACAAATAACTACGCCTCTTGTATAAAAAATTAATTTAAACTTATATTTAAACAGGAACAGGCGTCGTTTTTTACTCGTTAACCTCAAATAATAAAACTACGGCAAACATCGATAAACATTTATGTACCGCATGACTACCATTCGTAAAACTAAATAACACATTTCAATGTAAATATGTCGGAAGCAATTTAAATAAAAGTAAAATTATAGCGTCTATTACAAATTTTCACTTTTTAATGCTTTCCGAAATAGTTAGATGTATTGTTAATTGTTACGAGGGCGATAAATTGTTTTTTTAGAGGTATTTGATAAAATTAAATTTCACATTAAATGTTTTGTTTAGAAAAATGTGTTTTTATTTATTTCATTTATTTATTTACACTTTGTACACAAGGAAAATAATTAATAGTTTTAAGTTTGCAATTGTTCGTAAGTAGTAGGCCTTATTTCACAAAAGATGCCTGTATCATTTTAAATTACTGTATAGGTTTTTCTTAAAACTTGATATCCTCCTTTTGGGATTTAGTTGTTAGTCGCTGTATCTTATTGTATTTAAGACATTTCAGTTTGTCAACATTAATCTTCATATTATAAATCTTCTTTCTTCTACCCCCTCTGAAGTTTAATGTTAAGAACTCGTTTACAAAAAGGAGGTTTAGATAAACAACGATAATTCTACTAATGTTAATTGTGTCGAATTTCCAAGCTTCTGCTTTCCATATGTTAAAATTATATTGTGATCTTTAAGCAACGCCTTGTAAAATAATATAGCAATAAATTGATTTAAAATGTTCTTGAATTGGCGCCACGCAGGCGTTGTGTTTTTAACGACTTGGCGTCCGTCCTAAAGAAAAACGATAAGGTTTGATTTTTATAAATCAAAATGAACAAAATAATTCATTTTAACTACTATAATAAATAAATAAGTGTGAGCGACAGGGAGAGAAAAATATTTCGACGCTATGACTTGCACATAAGTTTACGATAAGCTAAAGAGGGCAATGTTACCTTGATTTGATTTTATTTATTTTATTTACTGCCTAAATCCTAGCTGAGTCCCCAGCGCCGCGTCCTTCAGTAAAGATATACAAAGAAAGCAAACACAAGTTTTGAAACATTTGTTCAAATATCCATTACATGTCGGTTTTTAGATAATTGGATCGCTTTGGCCGTGAATAATCTAAAACAGAACATGACATAACCTTAAAAGACGTAACATCTGTTGAAATAACCTAGTTTTTTAGACATGGATACCTACGTCCTAAGAACATCCTCATTTAAAAAATAGAGATAATAACCCATTTCGTGACTGGTTAGGTCTAGGGGCGGGGGCAGCTATTAGTAGTTTTTTTTCTAACTATTTCATATTTTTAGAAAGGTTTACCCTCCTACCGCTTCTAGCGACGACAATGGTTTCATTCAGACATTATATCTATAACTAGCGGTTCCCATGCGGCCCCATCCGCATGAAATTATGAAAATTTTATACTGTTTACGTTTGTCAAACTATCAATAGCAAATGTCAAATTGACATGACGCGACAAACCTTGGCAATCTTGCTTCCTTGACGTTGGCAGCAACTTATGGCCTCTTTCCCACATTAGGTTTTTTATCTAAAATATTTACCCCCTAGGTTTAATAGTTTGAAAATATATAACCTAAAGCGTGACGTAAGTGTAGGGCATTTAATTAAAAAAAGGATTATTCAAAAATATACTGTAATTGCTGACATCTTAGGCAACAAAGAAGTGTGTTTACGCTTTATTATAATAGTATAGACAAGTTAAGGTATTTGTTGCTACTCGTTAAAATAAAGCAATTTAATAGGGAAAATTTGACATAAAATTGTAGAAATTGAACGCGAAAAAAAGTTATCTTCCTCAAATACTTTTCTATATGAAATTTAGTAAGTCAACACCGAAACTATTTTCAATCCGGGATCTGTTACGAAATACTGTGACACATTTATAAACTTTAATGCCATTTGTTTATTTCATAAGCACGGGCACTGTTTGGTCACAGCATTGACCCTCGGCAAATCCCAAACGTCACTGGCAGCTAAGCCCCGATGATGGGAAACCATAGAGTATAACAATAGGCAATATTGCTTAACGAAAACTGGTTACTGAATAACCTTTTGTAATGCTAAAGAAGGTTGAAATTCCTGTCTACATCCTTTATAAATGTCTTTAAGTGTGTTGCAAAATCTAGTTGGCACACTTAAAGTATTAATCTTTGATCTATTGGCAACATAAACCATTACATAAACAAAAGGTCATACTTTGTCCCAACACAGGGATTTAAGCGAGTTATATTTAATCTTTGATACAAATTATAAGTTATTCTTTGCTAGATAACGACACAGTCTGATAAAGTAACTCAAAGTAACAAAGTGGGCCGCTATCGATTGCCGGAGGCTGTAAGATTGATGGCACTCGCCAGATCCTGTTCCCTCTCCCAATCTGTCAAAGTCATCCGCCAGATCCTGTTGACAACTTTTTTCTAATCCAAATTAATACTATTTCCACTGTCGAGCGACTTGTAAAAACTTTCATACTCTGCGTATAGCCAACAATATGTAGAGCAAATGTTACGGGAGTGGAATTTGATGGTTAGAGCGGACAAATACCTTTGACTAAATTACGAGTATCGCACATCTATTATTTCTGTATCTGTATAAGGTCCTAGAAATCAAAGCGCCACTAAACATTTGTGCGATAGTTTAGTCAAAGGTGTGCGCGGGCTCTTAGTGGATCAACCGATAATTGAGAAAACGTGGACATGATCTAGGGAAAAGAAAGTAACATATGGATACGTTTATTGTAAAAAATATCAGAAAATTAAAAAACATGAGGGATATGGTAAGCTTATTGCAAAAGCTTTTTCATCGTTGGCATGTGTTATCGGAGCTCGCCTAATCTACAATCAATTTAATTAATCAACCGACCCATTTCCTAGGTCAGTGGGGTTCTGAAGCTCCGAATGCTATAAATCAGACCGTTATCTATGCTAATTTTTACTTGAATACTGATTAAGGGTATTAACGGTATGTTTTTTTCGAAAACATTGCATTTTCATATAATATAGACAAAACACGTGCACGAAATTACCAACAAAAATTTTATACCAAAATACGACAGCCTATAATTTTCTTAGAAACTCCTTTGCTCTTAATTAATAAGCTAGAGGCTTTTGAAGTTGATCCCAACTCGGTTGTTATTAAATTAAATTGTTATTGCTAATTATACCGATGTAACGTTACACTTTTAAAATAACAATTTCTCCTATAATCATGATGTAATCCGAAATACACGCTCATGAAAGATTTTCCTTTGAAAATAATATCTTCTGTAGATTCAGGGTTTCTGAAAATACGTTGTCCGTTTAGTATGTCGTAAGTCTATACGTGACACGTTCGTCATTTATTTCACACGATGACCTCGCGTTCCGGATTCACAGGTCGGGCTTACGACTAGATCCGACTAAATAACCTTGTTACATTCAACGTATTGTCAACCACAAAGCCTCCAAATCCATTCTTTGTCATACGTTTGGTATTCATATTAATGATAGAAATATATGACACATTTTTCCGATTTAAGGGAGACCCTTAGTGACGATTTTGCGGGATAGATAAGGCAAATGAGAAAATTACCGTTACCATAATAACCTTGCTTCTTGCTCTCTTCTTTAATGTTGGCAGCTTGTAGTTTATGGTCCCTTTCCCACATGAAGGTTTTTTTTCCAACTTGTTTACCTCCTAAGTTTAATACAGTGAAAATATATAGCCTAAAGCATGTCTAAGTGTGGGGCTTTTTATTAAAGAAATAATTATTCAAAAATATTGTGAACCTGCTGACATCCTACGCCTCGAAGTAGTGTGTGTTTACGCTTTATTGTATTTAGTATAAATAGACAAATAAAAATATTTTCGTAAAATTCCATCTTTAGCGCAAGTAAAGGAAAATATGCGAATGTCCAAAGTTAAACATTCTCAAAGGATTTCTGTTGGTTGCTTTATCAAAGCACATTTGGAATTCTCGTTAAATGTTCCGACGTAGTTGAAAGCAAAGATGTTTGCCACGGAATAATGCACCTTAATGTAATCGTAGTTTATAAGAATAAAACCAATAACATAATAACCGTTTAAAGTGTAATTTACAATGGCTGTCCGTTTCAAAATAATCGTCCATGTAATTTTAGATTCAATTACCTAATAATAATTTAAACAGCTTATATATAACCTCCACCCACGCGAAAATACTAAGTTTAATTAAAATATATAATGATTTGTAGTATTATAGAATTTTCAAATTAAATAGAACCAAAATACAATCGCTCTTTGACCTATGCGCTAAAATCAAAGTAAATGACGCGTTTTACCCTGTAAAGGGTAAAATGTTTAAACACATCGTTCTGTATATTCCATGCATAAAGCGCGTGTAATCTCACGACAATAAATAACATATTCATAACTAAAATGTTCTCATAACAAAGTAACATATATTATCTTTGCTCTCATAAAGCGCCGTTGAATTATTATCTCTTTATTTACAATCGATTTTTGACCGACTTCCGAAAAGAAGGAGGTATTCAATTCGTCGATATGTTTTTTTTTATTTTTTTTATGTGTGTTACGGCATAATTCTATTACTACAATAGGAGATAAACATATTATTTTCACTATTATGCATTGTAAAAATAATCTATGATAAAGTTCTCATACCTTTAATATACCATTATAAGAATAAAATAGCAATATTGAGGTAAGAAAAACAATATTAATATAAGGATTTAAATTCAAGACCTGAAAACATTGAATGTTTCGTTCAAAATACCAGCGTCATTAAATTTGCATTAACGTCCCGACTGCTCTCGCCCGCAGTTATTGCTTTAATTTTGTATACAAAATAAAACGGCCAAACATTTGCCTCATTAATTAATGTTGCACTTTATAAGCTAGATATTGCGTGCGTTAACAATTATAAAATGATCTTAATCTATTAAAACAACAAATATTTATGAAATCTAAAGCAGATTTATACTTTCGTTGCTTTTATAATTAAAGTGACAGGCCATATGTTATCAGTAATATCGGCGTCAAACATAGCCTCACTATTTCAAATTAGGCGCGAACCGGTCCGGTCACTTTCCATCGTTCGGATATCATCACTGAATGAGTCAGTTCAGTTGAGTTTTTTTTGTTTTTTTTTATTTGATGCTTTCTCCCACACCTGCCTGCAGACGGATATGAATACTTTCCACTGTGGGGAAATGAGAACAACGTTTTGCATGGCCTTGATTCAAGAGACAAGCGATCGGAGCCCGCCAAGTTGCGTTCAGTCTTCGACAGGCGTTCGCGACAAACGAACGTATCGACGTGAAAGTATTTGGCGGGAAACTCGACGCGAGTGATTGTGTTTGTGAAAAGTGCTGTGCGATAATAAACATAAAACTGGAGCGATTATTTATTTTGACGAGGTGGGTTGTTGTTATATTTCTAAAGATGTTTTGTAATACAATATGTACGTTGAGTAATGGAGAATGTTGCGGCTTTCCGTCCGTTGTCGAACGATTAAACTTGTTTTAATTTCGCTGTCGATGCAAAAAATGTGAAAGTAATGTTCGGTTACGTCGAGAAATTATGCATATGGCTTCCATTATAAGTATATTGATATGCAGTTATAGGATATATTAATATTTAGTTTACCTAGTTTATCTACCTTTACTGTTGCATGCCTTCAGAATGACATAAAAATATTAACTAAATTAAAACTAAAAACTACTGAAATGTTTATAGCATCTCTTTCGTAAAGTTTATGGACCCTTAAATAAATTGTTCCACGAACTAAGTAAACGGAGCATACTCCCTTAGAAATTTCTTAATAAGAGCATAGTTTTCTCTAATATCTGTAAATTGTAAAGAATTAAATTGTTTGTGAGATTATTGGTGTTTTATCTACTTTGTGTAAATACAATATTCGTTTTTACAACGGCTTACAGTAAAATTATTGCTTAAACCTTCGCTTGGCTAAGTAAGGATGACCCCAATGACGCTATCACTTGAGTCACAAGTACTGCGCTTTTCAAAGTTGTAGGCTTACTGAAAGTTGTCCCCAAAAGTAGAGCTTTAGAAGCTGCAGTAGTTCCACACACACAGTTTTTATACAAAATCACTGTTTTCATACACATTTTTACTGTATTGATAATGAAAGTCTAGGTTAGAATACTAGTGCGTTTTGCAATTGACTAAATTAAATTCCAACCTTTCCATTGTGCCTTTCATATAAATGGACGCGAATTTATTATAATTGACAAATGACTAATAATAAATTACAAAGTGAAACCTTATGAAAGGTCGAAAGGCCGTTTCTCTTGTATTTCAATGTCAGTTGCCCATGCGATATTTTAGTAACGACATAAAGTAAAATTAATTATGTTTTAGCGAAGCAGAAAATTCAATAAATTTATTTGAAATGAATTTGACTAATTGGTCTGACAGTGTCAAACAGTATTCATCATCTACATCCTCCTTATCCTACTCCCGTATGGTCGGCACATCAGGGTTTTGTCCTGCAAATAACTCTATCATACGTCATCTCAGTCATCACTCCCTTTTTGATCATGTCACCTTTCACACAATCCATCTCTTTCTAGGTCTACCTCTACCGGTGTATCCTTCCACACTCATAACTAACGTTCTCCTTGTAACATGCGATTCATCCCAGTGCCAAACCGTATTAAATCGTAGTAATATATACGCGAAAGAGATAGAGAAAGTAAATAAGAAACAATGTAATAGATTATACATAATTAATTTTGGACGAAAAATAGACACAATTCTTACAAGACAGCTTGAAGAAATACACATACCAGTAAAATTAGCATGCCATTGGAATCATTAATCATTGGATATTCAGTTCAAAAGTGATTTATAGGAGAAAATATGAAAGTTAGATGTTATATAATGATAGCGATGTAAATATAAACAGCGTATGCTTCGACGTAACTTGAAGTCTATCATGAATATGAATGCAGTTTCCAATATGTATAAAGTGCGCTGGTAGAGTAACATGCCACTACTAGCTATCAATATCTGACTTGGTAACTATTGAATGCTTTAACACAGATAAAATGCTGTAAATACGTCTCTTTACTTAATTGGAATAGCCAACTAGCTTTTACCCGAGACGTGTTTGTGTGATATTGAAAAAAAATTGTAAATTCCTATAGCACATGTAAAACAGTGAAAGAAACATGATTCGAGCAATCTGTTGATGAAAATCAATCCATACAAAGTAATGCATGGTGTATCAGCGATTAAAATATTTTGGCCGAAAATAGTTACTTTTTGGTGACAAATAAATGTTTAATAAGTATGATTTCTATTGACAAATTCACTTTGAAATTGCTTAGTTTATAGCTAAGAGTCTTTTATGTTTTTCCATACATCTACAACATATTCGTTCCGTAAAACTGATAAATGGAAAAGATTTTAAAATACGACAGAGTTTAATCCTTTTAAACGTATTAACGATGCGATTATAAAATCTTTTCTTGCACAGAAATTAACTCAACTATTATCTACAAACTTTAAGTTATGAAGACAACAAGAAACGGATGTGCGTGATAGAAATGAAAAATATTAGCACACTTAATATTACCTCGAACAAAAATAGGTCAAAGTACGATCGGAATTGTGTCATAGTAAGCAATTTAGTCGATCTTTTACGTAATATTGGCTTCTAGAATCCTTCGTTAAAATGAAAGTATAAAAAAATCGCCTAAATATTGGCATTTTAATTAATTCAGGCCAGAATAGTAAATTGCTGCTGATTATAAAAGTGTAGAGACTTTTTATGGATAATATTTTTCAAATAATGTTCCTAATTAAGAGGTTTTAATAACGAAAGGGTACAGAGTAAATCGCTTGAGCACTCTCTACTCCATACTCTGTAATTACCCATAATCCTAGTGCAGGGGTGACGAACCACTGGTACGCGTACCAGAAATGGCACACGACATAGCACTACTAAAAATATGGAGTAGGTACACCATAAAATTGACGTAATAATTTCAGTCAAAATTATTCGATGGCACGTCTAAGACTGTATTAAATATTTCTAAAAAAAAATCGCACTTTGATGTATAAATGTTCGCCACCCCTGTCCTAGTTCATTCGTGCTAAGTACATTTCGGGCAAAAGTTTTACATCTCGTACGTAATCGTAACAAGACTAGCTTTGCCCGCGAATCCGTCAGCGTGGAATATAAAAAAAAGTCGGCAGTTCTTCCAGACTATGTTCTATATCTATGCCAAATTTATCCAGATCTGTTCAGCAGTTTAGGCTACAAACTAACAAACATCCATCCTTCAATCTAAACTTTCGCATTTATAGTATTAGTAAGATCGCATCTCTTATTCCTATTATGAAAAAAGAGACAACTATACTTTTCGTTAGCTCTTTTGAGCATACATGTATCGGACAGTCTGGAAGAACACATAGGCTACTTGCTTTTCTTTTCTTTAATTACACGCGGACGGAGTCGCGAGCAAAAGCTAGTTTATGTTATTTGTGCAGAATCTAACGGTAAGATTATTACTTTACTTTTAAAATAAAGTCACTTCAATATCTGTAATATCATTTGATATAATTGTATCGTATATCCGCTGCGTTTCTAACTTACGTTCACACGTTACTGGAGTAGGGGCTTTTCTAGGCCGTGAGATTTCTCACTAAGATTTCCTTAACAGCTAATCGGTATTTAATTAACTATGAGTTAATATTAACTATATTTAAGTGGATAACGTTATTATAATCATTATAAGAAATTATTTTAATCTATACTAAGATTTGTATTGTTGTTGTTTTGAAATAACTCAAAAACTAAACCGATTTAAAAAATTCTTTCACCATTAAAAAGCTACGTTATCAGTGAGTAACATAGGTTATGTTTTAACTATTTTGTTAATGTCACAAGGACGAAGTCGAGAGCAACAAGCTAGTATACTGTACAGCAAAAGTACGTGATCGTTTTCCTATCCATATCTCAAGTTAAATCAACACTAAATGAATGCTAAAGTAACCATTAAATGGCCGGCAAGCATCCTTATGTAAATTAAATTAATCCAGTGTGCTTTACTCGAACAAAATTTACATAATTTGAAACAGTGTTACGAGAAAAATAAAACACTTACGACATAGTTCACTACAAAGGCTTTGTTGACTTTGTTTTTTTATCTTCGCCTGTCTGGGTTTTTATTTTCAACAAGCTGTGTGAAAGGGCCTTAACAATGGCACTACGAGTGAACACCTTCTCTTTGCACCCGGGGCGGTATCTTGAAGATGCACCAGAATAGATATTTTTCAGGCCAAACGCCTAAAGCTGTGAATTCACTGTATAGCAATGTTGGAAAAGTTTTTCTTTTTATATGAACCTCTTTGTTAAAACAATAAAAAATAGGTTATGTAATAAATTTTTGTTATTATATTGATTAACGTGTACGGTATATTTATATGTAGTGTAGCGTATTAGGTTAGAATTAAGTCTAATGGACAATGGGAATTCCATCTTGTACAATTGTAAATTTACCATAGTAAATTGAAACGATTGTACCATGTTTTTATTATCTCTGATTGTGTTGTAGTGTTGTTAAGGATTAAATGTTTTTATTTCTTTATTTGAATTCCATTTTTAATTTTTTTATTTAATTTTATTTATTTTACAATGTAAATTACTGAAATATTTATTTTATACAAGTATATAGTTGCATTTGACTTATCGCTTGCAATAAATCAAAGTCTGTATTGAAAGAAAATATCGTATACTTTAGTCTGCCACTCAATATACTGAGGTATTACGATAAACTCGGGGAAGACGCGTTTCGTGACTTATATTGAGTCTTATGGCTTTATATCAAAATTCATTCACTTCATGTCTCTTTACAATACTGGATTAATTAAAAAACATCATGACGACAAGCACCAACCTGTACTTAGGATCCTTCAAGAAGCGTGGTTACAATTTGCTCAAAGGCCGGCAACGCTTTTGTAGTTCCTCTGGTGTTGCGTATATGGACATCTGGGCGTCACTGACCAGCTCCGTGTTGCAGCAGCTCATTTGCCCCTTTTTGTTATAAAAATTGAACATTCGCTTAACTTACTACATTTTAATTTCGTCAGCTTATGAGTTCCCAGGAGCCGCTCGAAGTTAGGTACGACTAGTTCAACCATATTGGCTTTGTTTACTACACGAACATTAATGAATTTCTTCACTAATTTAGACACGATGTTTTTTACCTAGAACATAAGTTAACTTTATGACAAAAGCTAATTTGTTTGAGATAATAGGAACAAAGAACACTTCCTTTACTGGTGTATCATTGCTATTGTGATTACAAATAAAGTTTCGTATACACTAACAGCGATAGCGTGAAGAGCGAATCAATCTGCATGACAATGGTTTATACCTTCTATTGTT